AATAATATGATGCTTATGTAAAGACTAAATAAAGTCCTAATAGCCACAGAAACAACAGAAATTCATAGGGAAATGTCTGGCAGGAAAAGCAACTCTAAACTAGGGGTTAAGAATCATGAGGTTTGAGTCCCCAAACTGTCACAGCAACCAACTGTAACACAAGATGGTCGGACTAATTCTCTAGAAGACAGTTTTTTATTCTATGAGTGATTCTGTGTTGCCTTCTGTTGAGAAAGCTAATTATCCAATTATCTAATGAAGGATTCAATCTTGATTTTTATCCATTAGTTAAGCACTTTTGATATTCTCAAATATGCTTATATTTCAGATTTTATATTTCATCAGGCAGACAGTTCTAGCACCTCTTGTGCTCCTTATCAGGGTAGATTCCAAAGCAATACCTACAGTTTCATTCTAGAGCAAAATTTGGTAAGTCCACGTATGTGTCCATATCATTGACAGAGAGTCTGTGGAGCCTTCATCAGATTCCATAAGGGGCCTTTGGCTTAAGAAAGGTCAAGAATCACTGCCCTAGAGAAAGAAGAATGAGTTGTGTGCTATGCACAGCATAATCATCTTAAAGTTTCCATATTGAAAGACTGATTAATGTAGGAAATGCTCAAATACTAGACTATATTTTAAGTAAAAATCCTTTTCAAGGTAAGGTAAATAGAATCACCTTGAATTCATTTTGGAAGAGAGCTAGATAGCACGTGTTGAGATGCATAAAGGAAATCAAATGTGGCCTGCAAGTTGAGTAGGGAAATAAAAGCCAGGACTTCCGGAGCCATTTTCTTACTCTGAATTACCTTGCTTCATGAATTGAGGAAAATCACTAATTTTTTTCTTCCTCTATAACAACAGTTCTAGGTCTTAATATAAAAGTACTTTGTGGAAAAAAGTATTAACAACATGTATTGATTCTCCTGCAGAAGTCAACCCTTCATTTTTTCATTTTTCCAAACTAATTTGGGTTTGCTACTCTGAAGCAGTGAGCTATTTAAATAGACACTGTAAGAGGATGGATCCAGTTGGATTGATCTATTTTTAAACTCATAGGTTTGCCTGGGGATGAAGTAGCACTCCATAGAGATATATAATACTGCAATAACATACTTTAAACAAGCACTCCAAGGAGTCCCTAATAGCTACATTTGCTGTTTTTGGCTTTCAGGATGTCATTTAGTTATATGATAAATTTAGAATGCTTTTTGGTGTAAACAGTAGTTTGTGCCAAAAAAATAATTATCAAAATGGGCCCTACAAAATGCAACCCCTCCTCCCATTTTTGTAGATTAGCCGAGACCAAGTTTGTTTCACTCTGAAACAAAGGACTTTCAATTTGTCAAGCAACAGTTCCCATCTGGCCTATTCTCTTGCCAAATCCCAGACCTGGGCTCATGTGTCTAAAATTTCAGCAGCAACTTAGACCATGTGTCTTTGCACTAAAAAAGAAAAGCAATTATTTCTATGGGTGACCAGATGATTTCCATATCCTCTACTGAACACAAACGATCTACTGAGTACTACATCAGCAGCTGATGAATTTACAGTTGATCTTAGTCACTCTGTATCAGAAAAGAGAATGTGGATTCCTTTAGCCTAAGGACTTTCTAGAATGAAAGATGACAAACAAAGCAGTGGGTCAGGTCAACGGGTGACTTGCTTGAGTCCTCATTCTGCTACTTACTGTTTGTGTGATATTCAGGAAGACTCCTCATTTCCCTGAACCTCAGTTTCTCTCTCTATAAAATGTCAGATTGGGTGGTTTCTAACGTTTTCCCCAATCTTATACCTGTGTTGACCTCTTGAACAGAGATTTGTTGTGAGACTAGGAAATGAAGTCTGGGAGTTTGATTTTGTTTTCTTAGGTCTGGTTTTTCCGGTCTGAAACTCTGTAGCCTAACTAGAAGTTTCTATGCTGAAAAACAACTCAAAAGTGGCAGCTGGCCACCCAGACCATGGATATTCCATTTGGCTGGAGTCTATTTGCTTAGCACCTTCCATTTCTGTTTACTTAAAATTTGGCCCATTGGACTAGTCTCAAGGGAGACACCTTTTTCTTTTGACAAACGCCCAGAGGGAGGGAAAAGGTCATTTAAAGGTAGCAGAATCTGCAGCATCCTCTCCCGCACCACAGAGCCTGATGCAGAGCACGCAGCATCACAGAGAACACTGAACGCTTGTAGCGTCTGGCCCTCTGAAGCAAAGCAGTGGAAAATATTGACAATGTAGTCTTTTCACAGACTGTCCCTTCCCTGGGCACTGCTTTAATGACCAAAAGATATTGGTGTCTGTTACATGGACTCAGTAAGATTTTTTTTTTCCGGTTTTCGGGAGTTAGAGTTCTAGTATCACTTTTCCTTAGCCATTTGGTTTAAAGAAATGTAACAAATCAATGGATTAGGGTCCAGCAAACACATAAATATGCCTTATGCGTTTTGTAAAAGGAATCATAAATATGCGTGTGCCAAGTCATGAACATCTCTGACCTCAAAGTCAACCATCTCTCTGCCATGATCCTTCCATGCTCTAGGATCATAGTTAAAATCATGGAATAATTCGGCAAGGACTCATTTCAGTTAAAACTGATTTTAAAGACTTGTTGGCATCTGATGTGTATCAGCTGCCTATTCCAGGCTACTTCACTGAAGGCAGTGGGTCTCAACCAGGGCCAAGTTTGCACCCACTCCCCAACCCAAGCAACATCTATATGGAGACTTTTTCGTTGTCCCAACTGGAAGGTGTGCTCCTGACATATAGTGGCTAGAGGCCAACAATGGTGCTAAATATCCTACAATGCACAGGGCATAACAATGAATGATTGAACCAAAAGTCAATCGTGCCAGGATTGAGAAAACCTACACGTTTTCACTGTCCTGCAGACCTCAGAATGGATAGCAAATTCCTCAGGTTCTCCCACTTCAGTCATTGCAGAACCCCTGTTGTAATATTGGCTAGGTCCACATATATAAGAACTTCTACTTACTTAACATGTTTGTTAAGTAAGCAAATTAACTCAATTTTTAATAATTTATCCTTGTCCTAACCAATATCTATGAAACTGCAGATGTGATGTTCTAATTACACTATCAATACACATAAAAATAAAAATATGACCATTAATACTAAAAGTGCTTATCTATGTTCTACCTAAAAGTTTCTCATATGCTACTGTGCCTGCCAGATTGCAGAAGTGGCTTTAAAGGTGTCTGAGTCCAGCCATTCCTGTGCGGCTTGACTCCCTGCAATCCCATCCTTGCCAAGTGGTCAGGCAGCCAATTCTTGGACACTCGAGTGATGGGGAACTCATTCATTTATTCAGTGAATAGTTACTGGGTATAGACATTATACTAGACACAGCGGATAGACAGTGGGGGGAGGGAGTAGTAAGAGACAGCCCCAACCATCCTTTAGCACACAAGCTAGTGGAGGAATCATTATCTTATTTCCTTCCACATCTGCTACGTGTTTCCCAGTTTCCTGCTCACGTCTATCACAAAAACAACGATACATTTAGGAGAAAAAGTCAACATCCATAAATTATAAAATTCGGCCCACATATAACCCAAACTTTCCTTAAATACTTTCAATGTATACACTGGCTGCCCCAAGCCATTTCCATTTAATGGGACTGAATATGCAAAGGCTTTGGGGGTTTGATCCCTACTTTTTCCTCTCTAAGAGGCACAGAGAACCACGTATGGGGGGGAAGGAAAAAGGTGACCTATGAGCTATTAAGGTGCAGAGTCTCCCCACTTTGGGCACTTTCTTCCCCACTCTTTTCTATTTGGCCATTCTCTGCGATCGGGGAAGCGCTGGGCTAGAATACACAACTCTTACTGCTGTTTCTGGACTGTTTATCACATCTGTTCAGGTGCCTTCTTTCCTGCTGGTAATAGTGCACACCTTTTTTATGTTAGAACAAATGCCCTGAACCGCATCATATGTATGCCATGAAGTCTTCTGGAGAAGCCCTGGGTACTACAGTTTCTTTCTTTTCTCTCAGATACTCCTAGAAGTGGCCTCATTATAGTGTCCCCAGTTAAGTCAACCATAAAAAGCAAATATCATGCAAGATTCAAATCTGCGTTGGAAAATGAGATGGAAACATGCCTTTTCTTTCAGAGTAAAATCATAACCATAAACCTTCTTTTCTTCCATTAAACAAAAATATAGATAATCAAATAAAGTCAAAGCAACCCCCTCATCCTAGTGAATACACAATTGCTTTTCAGTTTAACATTTATTACGTGCCAGGCACTGTGCTAACTGCTTTGTAGACGTTAGTTCATTTATTCCTCTTAACAACTCTGTGAAGTTATTATTCCCATTTTATAGATCAGAAAACTGAGAGTCAGAGGTTAAATGCAGCAAGTTAATTGCTGAACCACGGTTTGCCTCTCTGCACAAAGCCTGTGCTCTCAGCCCTAGACTTAGCTGGGCAGAGCCTCCCGCCTCAGAGCTCGGTAGAAAGATTGATTGAACACTGAATGGTTTATTTTGTTTTGTAGAGTCCCAGAATTAATAAAGCTCGAGGAGTAGGCCTGCAGTTCCTCTGTGGGCTAAGTGCGTGGCGTTACTGCATAGGTCAACAAGTGCCGGGGGGCAGGAAACGCCGAGTGTGCACGGGGCCTTTGAGCCCTGGGGAGAGAGACAGTGGGCCGCACCTGAAGCTGCATGTTTGTCTGGGTGAGTTCTTCTGCTTTCTTTTCCAGTGACATCACCCAGACCTTCCTCTTCTGTCTGCAGCGGGTGGCAGCTGCCCGGTTCCGTTCCAGAAATTTCCGCCGCCTCTCGTCGGGGTCCTCATCCACCACCCTTCGCCGGCGCCCCCCTGTGGGCTGAGGCGGCTGTATTGTCTGTGTTGGTTGCATCTGTTGCGTTGCTGGTGAAACCTGATGGGACAGAGAGGGAGGAGGTGATGGGGACAGGGAAGGACACGTTAGGTAAGGCAAGAAACCCAAGGCAGTGTTAAAATGCAAAGCACAGGAAGTCAGCATATCAAATTTGTTTTCTGTGAATGACATAAACAATGAAGTCACACTCACAAAAGAAAATAAAAAGCATCACTGAATCATGTTCTTTGTTATACTGGCCAAATATAGGAATGACTCGTATAAAGATGTAGTCACATGGATTTTTCCCTGACGGGCCTTTGGCCGAATTATAGTAGAGGAGACATTTTTTTTTTCCCCTCTCCCTTCAGGTACGAAAAATGTTTTATTTAAGGTGTATTTCAAAACTTTAAAGTAGCCAATGTATGGCTACACGGTGAAAATGGAAAGGTCAGGGCCACTGTCACAATATTGATGAGTCATCTGTCATCTGCAGAAAACCTCTGGGCAGGTTGTGAGCTCCTTTCCTTCTAATGGTGTTAAAACCGTGTTCCTAGAACACACCTCTGGGACATCGTTGCCACTGTGGCTCCTATCAAAAGAACCCTGTGAAGTGGGAAAGCAGTTGAAATCCTATTTTCACTGTTTCACAGTTCTCAGTGCAGAGGCCTAGCTGGACCTGCCTGCTCCAGATGGGTCTGCCTGCTCCTGGGAGCTCTCCCTAAGGTGAAGTGGGTTACGGGAGAGCTGTCTAGGGTTGGGAAGCGGGGCCTTTGAAAGCAAATCAACGTCCTAGGCTGCACCGAGCCTGAGGCGCACTGCGTGCGTGAGACAGGGAGGGATGGCTGTGCACTGCCATAGCTTACATTATAGGAAATACTAAGAGTGGCAAAGCACTTTGTTAAAAATTTTACTGTGCTTGCGGATTCCTTGCAAGGTCTACCTGGGACTCAGCAATATCGAAGGCTCTGGAGACCCCCACACATACAGCTTTATTCCCCTTCATGAGGCAGACACACAGCACCTTGTGAAATTTCTACGACGGACTCTTTATATGTCTGGACACCTAACCCTTTCCCTAATACACTTCACTCCTTTCTCCTTCTTCATTCTCAATAAAGGGTGTTTTTTTTTTTTTTAACCTCTCCCATTTCTCAATCACTCGGGTTTATGGCTGTAATACCTATAAAGTTGTTCCACAAGAGACATTTAACCTGCAGAAATAACAGGCAAAAAGTTTTAAAAATGAAGCCGAACAAACTTTGGTACCACATTCCAACCCTACGATTGAAATCAATCAGAATGACTGTAATTGCTCCAATAGTGGCTACCGGTTGACATCCGTGGACTGATGGTGGTATATTTTAATCCTAAACTCCTATCAAACCTCACAGAAACAGGCTCAGGATTGAGGTTGGACTCCATCTCAGTAATTTTACTTAAAGCAAAGACATTTTCTAAAACTTTACTGGCGATTCCTTTCCTCCCGATCATAGAGGAATAACAAAATAGATTAATTGTCTAAGGTCTTAACTCACCAGAGTGGCTGGTGAAGACGTAATCCTTGTTATTGGCAAAGATTTAGCACTTGTCATTTCACATGCTAACTCTTAAACTAACTACTGCAAAGAAAAGCATTAGAAGGGAATGTGCTAACCGCTCAGCTATTTTTGCATTTACTGTTTATTTTTGTGAATTATGATCTCTTATTGGCAGCCCTAGACAAGAATCTGAAGTAGGCAAAACTGGTTTTTAATCTCCATTGCAGAGACCTCTCTTTCAATTTTGTATCTTCCTACCCTAACTTCAGTCAACCTTTAACCCATGATACTCTTTCTGTGCCTTTACCCACAGGGATAAGCAATGTAGAGATTTCAGGTGCAGTGCAGGCTCAGGGTTTAAGGTGTGGGTTAGTTAAGAGAAATTCCAGGTGGCCATGAAGTGAAACCAGGACTCTAAAGTCACGTCCTTACATGTGGGCGGAATGCAATGAGCCGGGAGAAATCGCAATTGCAGCCCTAAGACTAGAATTTGTGTCCCTGATAATTACTGTTGCTTATTTCATTTTTAAAATGGAATTCTCTTGGCATAGATGTTTTAAAAATTTTGATCAAAACAAAGAATTGTGATTTGGAAAAGACAGAATTTATTCCAAATCATCTTAAAATCTGAGTTGGAAGGACATTAAGAAACATTAAATAACGTAAGATCTCAGTAATCAGCCAAATTAACATAATTTAAGAGTGATATTATAGAATACTGTCTAAACAAACTGGTTCAAATTTTAGCAAGACCAACCTGGACTTTTTCTTTTTAGTATAAGATTTAAAAAAGCAACTGTGTGAGCAGCTAAGTATAATAGCAATTAACTAATTGCATATACAATTGACAATTTACTGATTTGAAACAGAGGACAATCGGCTAATTGGTAATTAGCTAATGAATGAATTCAAAGAATTTTTAAACTCGTCTGTGAAATAACTTGCACACGAAGGTAGCCAAACCTTGATATTCTTTCCCTTAAATTTAAGCACATGTATGAATCAATTGGCTTATCATTGACTTTGTAGGATTTTTTTTTCCCTTCTAAATACATGTCCCAGTATAGAATTTGACTAAAAATGTGACTGAAAAAGGTGCTCTTGACAACATTTTATTACTAAATTATTAATATTTGCTAAACTTCGATTACTTTGTTTTGGAACTACTTTAGTTTGGAATTAATCATGGCTAACATGTTTTGAAAACTGTGCCAGACTTTACAGAGATTACCTTATTTAATATCATAAGAGCTTATGAGTGTATCTATTATTATTCCCATTTTACATATGAGGAAACTGAGGTTTAGGGAGGTTAATCATTTCTGTTCATAGTCACACAGCAAGTAAGGTGGGAAAAGAATTAAAGTTTCCTTACTCTAAATCTCAACTCATTCACTATGTAGAACACCCCTAAGAGCCTTTGCAAAAGGAAATTTGTCTAATGAACGGATTACGGAGTTGCCTGTTGCTGACCCATTTTGTGGATGGCTGTCCAGGTTTGGTCTATGTTAGGGGAGGCGGATACAAGGGCTCAAAAACTCCTGGTGTGAGGTCTTGTCTCCAGAGGCAGACATCGGAAGACACAAGTGAATAAGTTGGAGACAAGTGAATAAGTCTGATAGACGTCAGAGGAGATGGTGAATAACTGTTATTTGGCGGTCCCAAGCTCCCGACACCATTCTGCCCCAGCTGGTTGGAAGCTGGCAGTGTGGACTGGGTGGAGGGGACGGAAGAAGGTCATCCTACATGAGGATCCAAAGTGTCTAGGGCCAGCCATGCTCCTGGACGTGCCCTCCCTCCACTTACTAACACTCACTCTGGTACATGGACTCGCCTCTCTTCTTGGCCTTGGGTGACATAACGTCTGCCTGGTCCCCCAACCCTCTTTCAGTTTAGTCTAAATGCTGGCTTTCTTTCCAGCCACTCCTGGTGACTCTCCGCCCCTGGGATTTGGCCTTTCTCTTGGTCTGATCATCTACAGAGCTTGGCTCTCTCTCTGCTCCCTCCAACGCGTTTCACATTCGGTGGGGTGAGTCACCTCTCTTCACTATTCACACAGCACCTTACGCCCTAGCATCCACTACCAAGCTTCTTTGCCTGCCTTGAATTGTTACTCTTTAGATTTTTAACATTTCCTGTCACCCAGAAGATTGCCCATTGTATTTCACTTCCATTTTACACGTGACCAAATTGAGTCTTTATATGTTACAAAACATAGCAGCTAGGGTTAGAATTAGCTTATTTTTTTCACTCTTCTTTCACATCTGTCTTCATAAGCTTAAATTCTTCCTAAACCTTCCATTCATATTACTCTTTCGGAGACTTTGGAACACGCTGCCAAAGTAGATTTTGGAGAACTTAAAAGTTTACATCTGCCCCTAGAGATTGGACCTGGTATTGACTATATTATTTATAGACATTGTGATCTAGTAGGGTCTTCTGGGTAAGCATTACCTCCTGGGAAATAAACAGAGCTTCCCAGAATGTCAGATAGAATACCTGGGCTTGTCAAACCCGGTTGCTGCAAATGACCCCAGCATTAGAACTTGCACTGTGAAGAAGCAGAAAGAAGAAAGAAGAAGAAGGAAGAAGAAAAAAGAAGAAGAAGAAGGAGAAGGAGAAGGAGAAGAAGAAGAAAAAAACAACAACAACAAGGAGAAGAAGAAGGAGAGGAGGAAGAAAGGAGGAGGAGGAGGAGGAGAAAAGAGATCAAGGAAAAGGTTTACCTGTGCTTGGTTGCCGGTGTGCAGGGGCGGGTGTGGCGAGGTCTGGTGATGTGCTGGGTGGGCATGGAGGTGGGAGTGGGAGTGATGATGCGGGTGGTTCTGCTGGTGATGGGGTTGAGGGTGAGGATGGTGTGCTGGGTGCTGGTGCTGGTGCGGATAGGGGTGATGGGGTGGCAGTGTCTGGTGCTGATGTGGGTGCGAGTGCATGTGATGGTGCGGCGTCTGGTCCTGCCGGGAGCCCATCATTTCCATCATGTGTCCCATGGTGTTCATATTCCCATTTGACATGGCAGCAGGGTGGTGAGTCAATGCGGCCTTCAACCTCTGAAATGGAACAAAACGAGAGGCGACAACTGAGGTCAGTCATGTACATGATAGGGATTTTGAAGCAAAATGAGTCATATTTTCAATTCTATGATATTTTATAGTATAGTCATACAGTCATTAACATTTTCTCCTGGTACCAAGATAACTTTTGTGTTAATTTCCTATTTTCTTACGTATTATGGTAGGTAGGAGGGTCATATCAGCAATTAATGTTAATTCAACTGCCACAGCAAATGGACAGGATATCCCACCAAGATATAGACATTCTCCAACCTTTTTGGCACCAGGGACCAGTTTCATGGAAGACAATTTTTCCACGAATGTGGGGGTGGGGGGAAGGTGGAGCTCAGTGGTGATGCAAGTGATGGGGAGTGGCTGTAAAAACAAGTGAAGCTTCTCTCAATTGCTCATCACCCACCTCCTGCTCGGCGGCCCCCCCGGTTCCTAAGTTTCATGGAAGACAATTTTTCCACGGATGCAGTGGGGAGGCCCATGGGGCGGCAGAACTCTGTAGCTTGGTCCTTAACCGGCCACAGACCAGTACTGGTCCACGGCCCGGGGGCTGGAGAGCACAGTGCTAGAAGATATTTCCTACTAGCCCATCATTCGTCCTATCATATCTACAGCTGAATGCAAATATAAACCAAATAGAACCATTTGATATGATAATGCCACTGAACAAAGGCCTCCATCTGATATGGCACTGTGTTTTGTAAGAGTCACCAGCATAAAAGGTTTTGCCTTTGAGACCAGCCTGAGCAAGAGCGAGACCCCGTCTCTACTAAAAATAGAAAGAAATTGGCCAAACAACTAAAAATAGAAAAAATTAGCCGGGCATGGTGGCGCGTGCCTGTAGTCCCAGCTACCTGGGAGGCTGAGGCAGGAGGATCGCTTGAGCCTAGGAGTTTGAGGTTGCTGTGAGCTAGGCTGATGCCATGGCACTCTAGCCCAGGCAAGAGAATGAGACTCTGTCTCAAAAAAAAAAAAAAAGATTTTGTCTCTCAAAAGGTTTCTCAGACATAAAGAAGAATTGACTTCAAATTTTAAAATGTAGGAAGAACACTAATATCATTTTATGGCTTCACGTTAGCATTCGTAATCTAAAACTTCTGGAGGCAATGTGTAGGTCTTTTCTGTTTGTTACCATGGTATTTCTTACTGTCCTGCCCGATAATCTAATTTTTCTCACCCAATAACTTTCTTCTGACTTTGGGAAGGGAGTGAGGAAAGCAGAAGAATATGGAGTATTGCACCTTTTTTGATGACCGTATCAACAGGCCAGATATATTTCTAACAGAAAGCATTATCCATTAATAAGCAGACATGCACACAAATACCTTCTCCCTGAATGTAAAGCAGGGGTCAGTGAACTTTTTCCATAAAGAGTCAGATAGTAAACATTTTTGTCATTGCGTGCCTTCTGATCTCTGTCATAACTACTCAACTGCGCCGTTGGGGCAGAAAACCAGCTGTAGACAATATGTAAATGATGAACATGCTGGGTTCTAATACAATTTATTTAGGGACAGGAAATCTGAGCTTCATATAATTTTCACATGTCACAAAATTTTATTCTACTTTTGATTTTTTTTAAATGTAAAAAACCATTCTTAGTTCATGTGCTATACAAAATTAGACAGCAGGCCGGAGTTGGCCCATGGGCCATAGTTTGCTAACCCTGTTCAAAAGAATCAGTTGGTAATCAGTTCAGTCCCAGTTTCTTCACAAGTGTTTTTCCTTCAACACAGGCAATTATCCTCATATCCTGAGGGGCACAATGCGCTAAGTACTGTATAATGCGGTTGCTTCTCACAAATGTGTCTTATGCAGAGATGACAGTCTAATTGGCAAACTCACATTAGCTTCATGAAGTATTTACTAAGGGACTCAAAGTTGTCTCCTGGTTTGTGTTCTTATCTGATTGATGATAGTGGTGTGTAATCACTGGGCAAAGGAAGAGTAGTATTGAAATGATCAAAGCCACCATGCTCTAGCCCTTGTACAATATTAATGATTCTCAACCAGTTAAACTATTGAAAAATACCAATTCAATTCATCAAAATCTTTAGTTAGACATAAAGAGCCTTTACTTGTTTTTAAAAAAAGAAAGAGGATGGAAAAAGAAAGAGGACTATAAGTTAATATCAGATAATCATTTAAAGTATTTTTGACGTCCTGATTCAATAACCACTTTGTCCACTTGTCTCCTACTTCTAAAAAGTTTTGATGGATTTTGTTAGATGGATATATTGCATAATGGTGATGTCTGGGCTTTTAGTGTACCTGTCACTCGAATAGTGTACATTGTGCCCAATAGGTAATTTTTCATCCCTCATCCCCCTCCCACTCTCCCACTTGTTAGAGTCTCCCGTGTCTATTTCACTCTGCATGTCCACATGTACCCCACTTGCCTCCTCTTTCACAAGCAACAGCTACTGCCCGTTAGCTCCTGACCTTCATGATGATAATTCTGAAGGGGCCAAGTTCCCTGAGTCTCTGGGAAAGATTAGATGCTGGGTATTGTGTTTACCACTAGAAACCAAGAGTAAACTAACACTTCTCATCTTCGATTTTTAGAAATGATTTCATTGTTTTTATAAAAATGCTCATTATGAAAAATGTAAGCAATGCTTAAAAGTGCAATGAAGTCAGCAACAAGTGAGCCAAATGTGTTGTTTACATTTGGTGGGTGAGCAGCATTCCAGACAACCTATATAGGCATATGTAGAGATGGAGGAACAACCAGAATAATTTCTTAACAGTGGAATCACAATGGCATGTAATTTAAAAAACTTTTATTTGACTATGGGATAGTGAAGAAGTGAAAATTGAGTGAATTGCCGAGCTTCAGATGTTTCTCTACCCAAAGAAAAGTTTCTGAATATCTCCAAACTTCAGGATGAAAAAACAGTATGAAAAAATATTATGTTGAAATCATCATGGCTTTTCTAAAATTGA